ATTAAAAAATGTACATTATATACAACAATGATAAAATAGTACTATGAATAGTTAATTGGTAAGATAATTTTACATGTACATTTTAAATTCACTATTATCACAGAAACAGCTCTAAATGAAACAATGACCCGAGCTTTCAAGCGGTGGGGGAGAGCCCTACCAGCATGGTCAGCCCAGGTCACATTTTAACTATACAACAGTTACATAAATAAAGGCTAAATTACACAAATTACAAAAATGATGAGCATACATGTTTTTTAACCCATAAAACACGTTTTGGCATATTTCTTAAAAGATAATAGACTTTTGCAATTCTGTACATATGATGGTAAACTATTCCATATATATGGACCTTGATATTTGTTTTAATCACAGAAACAGCTTTAAATGAAACAATGACCCGATTGTTTTAAAAGACTGTTGATGATCTGGTAGTTCTTGAATGGATATCGGATGTCGAAGTAAAATTGTTCAAGTAATCTGGAGCAAGGTTGTTTAAGACTTTGTACATTAAAATACATTGGTTGTGGGAAATTCGTTTTTTAAAAGGCAACCATTTAAGTTTGCTAAACATTTCATTTGAAGGTGTACAAAAATCACATTTCAAAATAACTCTGGCAGCTCATTTTTGCAGTTTTTCAATCTTTGCAATGTGGTTCTGTGTGGTATTTCCCCAGATATTAGAGCAGTAGTCAAAATGGGGATTAATGAAGCAATTGTAATATGTGAGACAAGATGATTGGGTCAGGAAAAGTCGAAAGCGTCTCATTTGGAAAATTTGATATGCAATCTTTTTTGCAGTATCTGCAATTTGTTTATCCCAAGATAAACAATCGTCAATAGTAACCCCAAGAAGTTCTTATTGTTTCACATTTTCTAATTGTCTGTCATTTATAAAAACAGATAAATTTTCAGATTGTCTACATTTTCTTTGTGATGTTCCAATTAACATAACTTTAGTTGATGATGATGATAAGGAGTGTCTATACACAGCTAATATACACAATGTCAAATGATTTGCAATGTTGATTTGAAATGACATTATTTGACCTCTTCCATATTTAATACTGTTGCTGTTTAAAAGTGGGTGTTTTGATTATGTCATTATTCCACCATCTGGTCTAAGGTTGTTGTTTCCACACACTGCATCTTCCCTGATGACATATGGAGAACCTTCAAGTTGATAGCATTGGGTATCGTCTCAATTTTCAACCAAGTCTCAAACACCACAAACACAGAACAAACCTGAAAATTGTATTTTTGTTGTATATCTTCTATATGGCTATGCAAAGATCTTGCATTGTGGCATGCAGCCTTCACATCAATCATTACAGTATAGAGTGGCATGCAGCCTCCACATCAATCATTACAGTATAGAGTGGCATGCAGCCTTCACATCAATCATTACAGTATAGAGTGGCATGCAGCCTCCACATCAATCATTACAGTATAGAGTGGCATGCAGCCTCCACATCAATCATTACAGTATAGAGTGGCATGCAGCCTCCACATCAATCATTACAGTATAGAGTGGCATGCAGCCTCCACATCAATCATTACAGTATAGAGTGGCATGCAGCCTCCACATCAATCATTACAGTATAGAGTGGCATGCAGCCTCCACATCAATCATTACAGTATAGAGTGGCATGCAGCCTCCACATCAATCATTACAGTATAGAGTGGCATGCAGCCTCCACATCAATCATTACAGTATAGAGTGGCATGCAGCCTCCACATCAATCATTACAGTATAGAGTGGCATGCAGCCTCCACATCAATCATTACAGTATAGAGTGGCATGCAGCCTCCACATCAATCATTACAGTATAGAGTGGCATGCAGCCTCCACATCAATCATTACAGTATAGAGTGGCATGCAGCCTCCACATCAATCATTACAGTATAGAGTGGCATGCAGCCTCCACATCAATCATTACAGTATAGAGTGGCATGCAGCCTCCACATCAATCATTACAGTATAGAGTGGCATGCAGCCTCCACATCAATCATTACAGTATAGAGTGGCATGCAGCCTCCACATCAATCATTACAGTATAGAGTGGCATGCAGCCTCCACATCAATCATTACAGTATAGAGTGGCATGCAGCCTCCACATCAATCATTACAGTATAGAGTGGCATGCAGCCTCCACATCAATCATTACAGTATAGAGTGGCATGCAGCCTCCACATCAATCATTACAGTATAGAGTGGCATGCAGCCTCCACATCAATCATTACAGTATAGAGTGGCATGCAGCCTCCACATCAATCATTACAGTATAGAGTGGCATGCAGCCTCCACATCAATCATTACAGTATAGAGTGGCATGCAGCCTCCACATCAATCATTACAGTATAGAGTGGCATGCAGCCTCCACATCAATCATTACAGTATAGAGTGGCATGCAGCCTCCACATCAATCATTACAGTATAGAGTGGCATGCAGCCTCCACATCAATCATTACAGTATAGATTGGCATGCAGCCTCCACATCAATCATTACAGTATAGAGTGGCATGCAGCCTCCACATCAATCATTACAGTATAGAGTGGCATGCAGCCTCCACATCAATCATTACAGTATAGAGTGGCATGCAGCCTCCACATCAATCATTACAGTATAGAGTGGCATGCAGCCTCCACATCAATCATTACAGTATAGAGTGGCATGCAGCCTCCACATCAATCATTACAGTATAGAGTGGCATGCAGCCTCCACATCAATCATTACAGTATAGAGTGGCATGCAGCCTCCACATCAATCATTACAGTATAGAGTGGCATGCAGCCTCCACATCAATCATTACAGTATAGAGTGGCATGCAGCCTCCACATCAATCATTACAGTATAGAGTGGCATGCAGCCTCCACATCAATCATTACAGTATAGAGTGGCATGCAGCCTCCACATCAATCATTACAGTATAGAGTGGCATGCAGCCTCCACATCAATCATTACAGTATAGAGTGGCATGCAGCCTCCACATCAATCATTACAGTATAGAGTGGCATGCAGCCTCCACATCAATCATTACAGTATAGAGTGGCATGCAGCCTCCACATCAATCATTACAGTATAGAGTGGCATGCAGCCTCCACATCAATCATTACAGTATAGAGTGGCATGCAGCCTCCACATCAATCATTACAGTATAGAGTGGCATGCAGCCTCCACATCAATCATTACAGTATAGAGTGGCATGCAGCCTCCACATCAATCATTACAGTATAGAGTGGCATGCAGCCTCCACATCAATCATTACAGTATAGAGTGGCATGCAGCCTCCACATCAATCATTACAGTATAGAGTGGCATGCAGCCTCCACATCAATCATTACAGTATAGAGTGGCATGCAGCCTCCACATCAATCATTACAGTATAGAGTGGCATGCAGCCTCCACATCAATCATTACAGTATAGAGTGGCATGCAGCCTCCACATCAATCATTACAGTATAGAGTGGCATGCAGCCTCCACATCAATCATTACAGTATAGAGTGGCATGCAGCCTCCACATCAATCATTACAGTATAGAGTGGCATGCAGCCTCCACATCAATCATTACAGTATAGAGTGGCATGCAGCCTCCACATCAATCATTACAGTATAGAGTGGCATGCAGCCTCCACATCAATCATTACAGTATAGAGTGGCATGCAGCCTCCACATCAATCATTACAGTATAGAGTGGCATGCAGCCTCCACATCAATCATTACAGTATAGAGTGGCATGCAGCCTCCACATCAATCATTACAGTATAGAGTGGCATGCAGCCTCCACATCAATCATTACAGTATAGAGTGGCATGCAGCCTCCACATCAATCATTACAGTATAGAGTGGCATGCAGCCTCCACATCAATCATTACAGTATAGAGTGGCATGCAGCCTCCACATCAATCATTACAGTATAGAGTGGCATGCAGCCTCCACATCAATCATTACAGTATAGAGTGGCATGCAGCCTCCACATCAATCATTACAGTATAGAGTGGCATGCAGCCTCCACATCAATCATTACAGTATAGAGTGGCATGCAGCCTCCACATCAATCATTACAGTATAGAGTGGCATGCAGCCTCCACATCAATCATTACAGTATAGAGTGGCATGCAGCCTCCACATCAATCATTACAGTATAGAGTGGCATGCAGCCTCCACATCAATCATTACAGTATAGAGTGGCATGCAGCCTCCACATCAATCATTACAGTATAGAGTGGCATGCAGCCTCCACATCAATCATTACAGTATAGAGTGGCATGCAGCCTCCACATCAATCATTACAGTATAGAGTGGCATGCAGCCTCCACATCAATCATTACAGTATAGAGTGGCATGCAGCCTCCACATCAACCATTACAGTATAGAGTGGCATGCAGCCTTCACATCAATCATTACAGTATAGAGTGGCAGGCAGCCTTCACATCAATCATTACAGTATAGAGTGGACATCAATCATTACAGTATAGAGTGGCACTGGACGGCATTCAGTTTGTTTGTCAGTTCATGGTCTGTACATATCTGCCGTTACTGGTGGATCCACTTTTATATGTTTGGAATTGAAGTCCAGCAAATGTCTACCTTTGATGCTAATATATTATTATTTGTGATCAATACCACGGAATTAGATTACAGGGTGTAATCTAAGTCCGTGTCAATACTGAGGATTGCGACTTTTAATTACAATTTCATTCGGTTGTGAATAGTTCGAATACATGTGCTTCGTAAATTGTCTCATTACGTATCCAGTTGCAATTTGAAATCACTCATTTGGATGCCGCTGTAGGAATTAAGATGCAAGATTTCTCCCAAATCAATTTCCCCTATAAAGTCTAAAAGACGTTACATGTAGGTATAGTTCCCTTTGACATGTCAAAATCCAAACACAACTTTCCTTGGAAATATATATAGATTTAAAAAAATAGATATTTCCGGATATGCAACCCGGTGCGCCTGGCCAGAATATTAGTTTTTAAAGCGTCTGAGTGATGCTTACGTGTTCTTAAAATGGAGTCCTTGGAAGGTGGTTCGCCACGACTGACAAACTCCAAGTTTGAAGGTTCCCCAAGTCGCCTGTATTTGGCAGTTGCAATAACATGTTTAGTAACGCTTTCATTCGGTTTCGTTATTGGTTACAGTTCCCCGGCTATTCCAGATCTTGAGAAGGCAGGTTTTCTAGATGGGAAGTCGCAATCGGCATGGTTCGGCTCTCTGTTGACAGTTGGTGCAATATTCGGAGGGCCGTTTGCAGGGTTTTGCATTGAGAGGTTTGGACGGAAGTTTACAATAACTCTTTCCTCAGTAATTTTTGCCACTGGTGGCTTGATAACTGCACATGCATATTCAGTAACCATGCTGTTTGTTGGGCGCTTTTTAGTGGGATGGGCCAGTGGCCAGACAACCGTGTGTGCTCCTGTTTACATCGCAGAAATCGCCACAAAATCACTCCGAGGATTCCTGGGTTCATGTGTGCAGCTTTCCATTACCATAGGAATACTAATGGCGTACACGTGCGGCATGTCACTCAACTGGAGTAATTTATCAATTGTTGGAACCATACCTGCATTTGTTGCAATAATGGCTATGTTTTTCCTCCCAGAAACACCAAGATGGCTTCTGATGAAAAATCGTCGACATGAAGCATTAAATGCATTAAGTGCCATCAGGGGACCACATTCCGCTGTTGAGGATGAATGTCGAGACATTGAAGAAGGTCTAGATAACCAAGAGTCCTTCTCATTTGCAGAGTTTCAGAAGCCTGAACTGTCACGTCCATTGTTCATTTCCCTTGCCATTATGGCATTCCAACAATTTAGTGGCATAAATGCTGTCATGTTCTATACTGTGTCCATATTCAACAGTGCTGGATTTAAGAAGAGTGCAGAGGCAACTGTAATAATTGGTGCAGTTCAGGTGGTTGCTACAGCTGTGGCCTGTGTCCTGATGGACAGAGCTGGCCGTCGTAAACTACTCATTATCGCTGGGTCAGTCATGGTTTTTGCCTGTGGCTTGTTTGGACTCTACTTCATGCTTTCTTCCCAAAATATGAGTTGGCTTGCAATAACAAGTTTAGTGATATACATCATTGGATTTTCACTTGGTTGGGGTCCAATACCAATGTTAGTGATGTCTGAAATATTTCCAGCCAGGGCACGTGGTACAGCAAGTGGGTTGGCAGCTTTCACCAGCTGGTTCACTGCCTTTATCGTAACCAAGGAATTCTCTTTCCTCAATGAACTGTTTGGCCAAGCTGGAACTTTCTGGATCTTTGGTGCTTGTTGCTTGTTTGCTGTGATGTTTGTAAATAAACACTTACCAGAAACAAAAGGAAAGTCCTTAGAAGACATTGAACTGTATTTCCTTGGGCGAAGTATGATGCGTTAAGACACAGATTTTTTTAAAATTTATTTTCTTTATAATATATGACAAAGACCTTTTTCAAATGATGAAAGTGAAAAAGCTACAATTATAAAAAGGCTTTTTGTAATGTTTTATCTGGTAACAACATACAATCATGAACTGTAGCTGACTGCCATATGAGGAATATGCTATTAAGGGTCATTGGACTAAATTTTTGAAATTTAAGATTTAAAAATTCTTTAATACAATGGTCATTTATAGCTTCTATATTGCTATCTGTTTTTGTTTGCTTGTGTTGCCCATTTACTTTTTTTTAAACATTTGAGACTTTCACTAAACTTTAGGCTTCATTGCATGGTTCAACAAAATCTTGTTACTTTTTAGTTTGTTTGAAAAACCAAAAGAGTTGCTATGACTGCCATCTTGAAAATCTATTTTGAACTTAAAATATTTAAATTCTACTTCACTGAAATTGCTGAAATTATTCAGATCTATGTGGTCCAGTCCTTGTCTATGTATCGGTGTTCATTATTTGAAAGTGCCTCTTGCAATCTCCGTTCATCTTTTGGCCTTTTGATTATGTCACAAAACACATGTGACTGTTAAGCCCCCTTGAGCCACTTATTTGTTAAATATGATCTTTTAAAGAGATACAAGTGCTATTACCTTTCAATCTCAAAGTGGTCATAAACTTATTTGCAATAGTTTCTAGACTGCTGGAGCTAGATGTATATATTGGGTTACACAAATGTACAAATGGGTACACATTATTTTATATTGAAATTTATTTATTATCAAATTTGGGAATTCTCCCACAAGCTCCCTTCCCTTCCCTACGATGACACAGTACACTGTTTGACAATGCTGGCACTTGCGGCTTCCCTCCTTTGATGTACACATGTATTTAAGAAATTTGAACTGATCAGTGGTTGTATGGAAAATAACAGGAATGGAAAATGACAGAACTGCACAATTTAAGAAAGAAATGATATGTATAAAACAATTTCAGAAATGTGATTGAAACTTGCTGTATCAAAGGAGTGGTCTGACATTGAATCTCGCTTTTTGAGGGAAGCTCAAGTGTCATTGTGCTGAGAAATATGTAAATGTCATAGACACGGTCTTAAAACTAACACTTTGATTAGCAATCCTTTTCACATTTGTTAAAGGAAATCAATGGGTGCCCCTTTAGTCCTCTCCTCCACCTGGAGGTGAACCTTGGAGCCATTTTGCTATTTAACTCACTACTGAGGGTGACCATTTGGTTTCCTGATAAAAAATGATATTTCTCAGAATTTGTATTAAGAAGGATATCTTGCGTTATTTATACAATACTAATACTGATACTGATTTTGTGTGGAAATTTGACTGTATAATATAATTTGTTTATAACTTTGACAATTTTAAATATTATGGCATGTCATGGCCATGAAGAAACCATAAAGCCATATGCAAGATGCTTTTTGGAAAGTGGGTCAAATTATATGTACATACATATGTTACCCAAAACACCGGTCTAATCAGAACCAAATGCCTCTAGAGTGGTTTCCTTGTACTGTACTATATGATTACCTGCAGCTTGGCTTATTGTAATTGTGCTGATTGTTAACCTTGGAGATCTGATACCAGACATACTACTTCACATTGTTTTTGTTTATATTTTATTTTGAGGTGAAGATGACATTCAAGTATATTAAATATATTATAGCCATTATCACTACAATATATAATGAAATATTTGATTATCATTTGTATAAGATGTATTTCATAAAAATCCATTATTATTCCTTTATTCCTTAATATTTTGAATTGTTGGGGGGGGGGGGGGGGGGGGGAGCAATAAATCACTTCTTGAAATGCATTTTACAAATTATTGTTTTCCTCAGTACTTGAGTTGCCATTATCACTTTTATGAAATATTTGTTTTATCATATTTATAAGAATTATTTCATGTCAATCCAATATTGTTCCTCAACAAATCACATTTTTGAATGCATTTTACAAAATTATCGTTCCTCAATACTTGAGTTTTTCGAAAAGAAAGTATGGTACTGTATGATGTAACTTACAGGGGTTGAACTACCCACTGCCAAACCTAAACTAATACCGTGGTATTGCTATCCAGAAATTACCAAAAAATATGTGTTTTCTGTAACATGTTAGAAAAATTTAGGGTAGGTAGGTAACACATTTTATTTTAACAAATAATTTTATATGTTTTATATAGGCGAGTGATCTTGAATTTAACAGTGCTTCTTTGAAAATTGCCTTAAAAGTTTAGGGTAGGCACAAAATATTAGGGTAGGTAGGGTTACTGGAAACACCAAATGATTTTTGTTTGGCCTTAAGAATGCACAGCAACAAAAAGAGAGATGAATACCTTGACAAGGGAAGTAACTCTAACTCTAAGCCAGAGATAGATTTTGTTAAAATAAAAACTCTGATGTTGAACTCTTTATTTTAATTTTTTGCGATGATACCCGATGCAGTGGTACCCTTTAACTTAGCCAGTTCACACATCTTCACACTGAACTGTATGTGTTAAGAAAAAACAACATACAGAGATTGAATGTAGGTGGTTCACTAGTGGGAAAAGCACTTTCTTTGGGCTTCTAGTCATTTCTTGGTAAAACAAAAATGTTCCTGAACTGCTGTATTCTGCATTTTTCAATAGATGACATCATATTTCTTAGGTTCTTCTAAATTGATATTTTGTTGAAGAAAACTATGTTACAAGAGATATGTGATTACATTGTGTGTTTTGATCATGGTAGATGATGGGACCAGGGGAAATGTTTCCTATTCTACTAATACAATGTACCAGTTAAATATTTCCCCCAGCTCTGTTGTATCTTCTATGTGGGCAGTAGTTTCATATATTGGTTATGCCTCTTATTAGTTTTCTTTTGCTTTATTAATGAATTTGAGTTCTGTGTCGGAGTACACCTATCACTTTATACAAGGTAAACCATTCTGTGTCCACTGTTCATACTTTTTTTTATCAAGAACATTGATTTATCATTATGATTATAAAAATGGCACTATTATCTTTTTTTTTCTATTATTATATTTTTATATTACTTTTACCTGTAGTTTCTGTATAGGGAAAAGTTCACCGAGTTAATGAGTTTGATATTAAATAAGTCAAATGAAATATTGAGGGTAAACTGTTTGTTACCTCGCTAAGCTTTTTAAGTTTGACATGTAGAGTGTAGCTTCATTAGGGCCCCTTATCGGAGAACATTTTGCTATGATATTAAGGAGCAAAATTGGTCGGAATTAAAGAATAAGTCAACTGACCAAAGATCAGGGTCACTGGATCAATGGTCAAGGTCATTTGGGTCCAAAGGTCAAAGACAAAGTGGATCTCTGACTTTGTCCCTGGCTCTTGATGGGGGAGGTATATAAGGTGAAATAAAACAAATCAAAGCTAACAAATGAGTATTGCACCAGTATTTACATTTCTGTTAGCCAAGCAAATATGGAGGTGGAAGGAAACAAGACTCGCATCATAGTACATGTAAAATGTATATTTTGCTTCCTTGCGATTCTTTTTGAAGTTCAAATATCAAACGTCAAGCTCAGCTATATGGGCAGATCGTTTCTTGATGATTATGGGGGATTTATTGCCACAAGACGGTGCCCTTACTGACCTGTCAGTGTTCTAGTTTATCTTGATGATTATGAGGGATGTATTGCCACAAGATGGGGCCCTTACTGACCTGTCAGTGTTCTAGTTTGTCTTGATGGTTATGGGGGATATATTGCCACAAGACGGGGCCCTTACTGACCTGTCAGTGTTCTAGTTTATCTAACCAACTCTAATGCTTGTCCTACTACCTAGTACATCAAGGCTCCACTGGAAATAGTTACGTGATATTTACTGGTTTAATATGTTCAAAATGAACATCTCACTGGTAACTAAAAGCATCATCACATTATTAAAATGTAATTCTATACCCACTCGCACGCGTTAAATCTGATGTGTGACTTAAAATATTGGTCACAATCTATTTGTAAACTCGGGTCAAAAGAGAAGAGTTTGAGATTTCACGATACCTTTATTTACAATTTCGTTTATTTCTTGTTGGCAAAATATGTACATATTAGGTACATAATGTATTTACAACATTTGTCCCAGTAAGTTGTGTGGTAAACACAGGAACTTGATTAGGTAGATTTATAAAGACATTCCTTCAGATTTTTTGTACAAATTTCACACCATGCCTTATCTGGATTTTGATATCACATTGAGGTGAGCTAATATATTTCTTATTTATTTAATTATTTACTGTGGGAAAATGTATGTGAAAAAAAATGTATCCATACATATGGGATGCCTAGTTTGTAAAACTATAACCAAAATATTTTTTGTGTTTATTGATAATATCACTTTAGTATATATTTCAAGGTCTTACACTTCTTACCGGTATTTATAAATTTGAAAATATTTCAAGGTCTTACACTTCTTACCGGTATTTATAAATTTGGGAATATTTTGGTTTCCCTAATTCACTAACTGCAATGATTCATACATGTTACCATCATACATTTTCTCGTTAATTTTTTCTCAATAATTGTTAAAAGTGTGTTCTAATAATATGTACATATATGTACTGTTGGGTTTGATGAAAAATAAAAGGTACAAGTTTCAAATATTTATTTTATTGTTTATATATATATACAAACATATTTTTTACAAAAGTAAATTATAAATATGACAATATCATCAATAATAAATGTTATAATTCTACAATTACAATCTCCAGTTCTGTGAAATTTAAGTGCGAGATGGACAAATAAAACATTTCACATAGACTTGGGTAACATTGTTAAATGATAAATAATAAATAATAAATATCCTGAAACTGAAATATAGGTCACATTTCCCCTAATTTGTTGGCAGACACTGCAGAGCTAAATCTGATGTGAGGAATGATGACCAACCAACTCAGTTTGATATAAACACTGGTAACAAACCCTAGTTCACATGGTACTTGTCCAATAGAACAGCTACTTCACTTCGGAGTGTTTTAGTTCCCTGTTATTTGGCACTGGGGACCTTTAATTTTGACAAGCTGTAGATGATTCGCCGTATCAGCGTTGTATAGTCCTAAGGATATCCTGAATGTCATCAATGGTACTCATGCTGGAAAAAAACAAGGACAACATTTCAAAAATGGTGACCAAATTACTGTCATGGTCTATATAGACATGTTTTGTATACAGCTTCCTGTTGATAAAATATTAAGTTATTGGTATAAACAGAAAGATAAGTCACGTACTTGCATAGTCCTGCAATGGCAGTATTCCAATATTTCCTTTTACAATAGTTTTACAAAAAAACTCCAGAAAACTCTTCAAATTGAAATATTTTGGAAAACTCTTCAAATTGAAATATTTTGGTAGTATTTTTTTTGCCTTACCTTTGCATCTGTTGAAATCAGAGTTATTTTCCATCGCTATGGTTGGTAAAAATTGTGACTTCTAGATTTATTTGAAAATACAATAGAAATTTTAAGATACATATTCAATTAGCTCAGTAAATTTCCTATGAACTGACAGTAATTCCTGGCTATTTTTACATACCTTCGAACCATGGCAGCTTGTCTGAAAATAAATAAGACGGCAACATAAACACTTTTAATATAATAAAACAATAGAAAAAACTTGTTTATTTCAACTACATTTACTTGAATAATTGTACAATATTGCCTCAAAGTGTTTTACAGGGAAGTGGAAAGGGGGGGGGGTTCTACATCTTCCCTTGTTACAGGGAAGTGGAAAGGGTGTAGTGTGTGTGTGTTCTACATCTACCCTTGTTACAGGAAAGTGGAAAGGTTTGTGGGGTGTGTGTTCTACATCTACCCTTGTTACAGGGAAGTGGAAAGGGTGGTGAAATGTGTGTTCTACATCTACCCTTGTTACAGGGAAGTGGAGGAAGTGGAAAGGGTGGTGGTGTGTGTGTTCTACATCTACCCTTGTTACATGGAAGTGGAGGAAGTGGAAAGGGTGGTGGTGGTGTGTGTGTTCTACATCTACCCTTGTTACAGGGAAGTGGAAAGGGTGGTGGGGGTGTTCTACATCTACCCTTGTTACAGGGAAGTGGAGGAAGTGGAAGGGGTGGTGGTGTGTGTGTTCTACATCTACCCTTGTTACATGGAAGTGGA